ATCATTTCTAATTTCGTTTTATAATACTCTTGTTGTAAAATACTTGTTTGGTACTGCTGTAATAGCACTAGACCTTGCAGTTCTTTTGTAGTTTCCTCAGTTTCGTATTTCTCTGTTGCTAATTTTCTGTATGGTGGCAATTTCTTCTGAATTTCTGTCGCTGTAATACTAACTGTTTGCTCACTGCGCTCGGTATATAGTTCACTTCGTTCTTCTTGAACACTACCAACCTAAATGGCACCTCTAATTTTCCCAATTGTAGGATTCCGGTCACCTTCCATAGCTTTCAGCAATTTTCTTTCCCAGTCTAACAATTTAATTGCTTTATAACCAGTTTTTTTTTAGATCTGTTTTTTTCTTCAATGTTGATTTCATGTTGTTGATTTTAATATCTAATGGTTTACCAAATGTTGATTCGTATTTTTCCAAAATCTTCTTCAAGGCATCGTCCTTTCTCGTTTTTATTTTTGGAACTTGTGACTTTTGCAAAATAATGGGAGCAATGGCAATTTCATTTGCGATGAACTGCAGGCCGTTGCCATTATACGTATATTCTATAGTTTCCTCATCACTTGAGGATGATATGCTTATTAATTTGGTAAAAAACTGTATCCAGTAAAAATACGGAACGTTCTGTGTAAGCTCTGGAATACAACTGTCAGTGATGCTGAGTGAACGAACTCCCACGTCAACTACAAGCTGGAACAAGTCAGGACATGTCGCTCAGGATACAGATACCAGTCAACCTTTTACTTCTTCTTGCAGGATATCCTCGCAAGTATAAGGTAATCATTATGAATATGAAAACAAGGATATGCTTATACTTCTACCTTTTTCTCCGAAGCAAGACCTTATACTTTTACCTTAGCTTCCGAGGATATGCTTCTCTTTTATGAATACGGCTCATTATGTTTTTTGGATGTTATAGGTACATCGCGAAAAATTATGTTACTCATTTCCATGGGTATGTCTGTCTATCGGTCTGTACGCTAATCTTATAACCGCCTATAACTTGAGAAAGACCGCCAAGGGCGCAAACGTTTTTGAAAATCGCTGTCGCGGTGGAGAAAAAAGCCGAAAACAAAGAAATAAAATGCGCTCAAACTTGGTTTTTTGAGGTTTCAGACAATCCTGACCTTTTTCGGAAATTTTTTTGTTGGGATTATAATTTGAGGGTTAGGGGTTGCAGGGAGTGGGAGAGAGTTCATATCAACTCTTAAAACCCCTTCCGTCGGGTGTCGATACAAGCGTCGACGTCAGTGGTCGCACGTCACAGTTGGCGCTCGCTTCCCCATTGCTGTGGGCTGTGTGCGCTATGTATATAATAATAATAATAATAATTAACGTCTTTTATTTGTAATATTCTTACAGGAGGCGAGATTTAGATTATATATCTATTCTACCATCTAACCCCCTTAACAATTCGAGATGTAAAAAAAAAAAAAAAAAAAATTTATTGAAAATTAATAGGCACCTGTATACAATAACGAATAATCCAAGTAAATACATAAGGAAAATATGAGGACACTTATGGGTTACAACCGATTTCGCTGCTGATCAAGAAGAACTTCTTTCACTTTTTTCTTGAATTTGGATAATGGATTGGTTTCTTTTAAACTGCGGTCTAAGGAATTAAATGATTTGATCGCATTGTAAATGTATGAATTCTGAAATAGAGACGTGCTGTGGCGTGGAATTGAAAAAGTCTCTCTATATCTAATATTAATACGATGCATATTCCCTCTACGTATGAATTTGTTTACTAAATATGACGGTGTTTTTGAATAAAGAACCTTATGAGTCAGATTTAGGAGCTGGTACTTATACATTTTATCAGTTTTCATCCATTTGAGTTCATTAATGGCATTCGATATATGATCGTATTTTCTGAGATCAGTTACAAGCCTGCAACATGTATTCATAATACTTTGAATACGATTTCTTGTTATAATATCTAAATAGGGATAGTAAACCACTAAGCAATACGATATCTTTGAAAATACGAAATATTCACACAATTGCTTTCTCGCAGATTTATGTAATATAGCCTTATTTGCAAATAAAACTCTGAGAATAGCGTAGCACTGCGTAATTAGATAGTTCACGTGTGCAACAAATTTTAAGTCATCATCCATTATAATACCTAGGTTTTTCGAATGATCCACAGGAATTAATTTATTACCTTTTAAATGTATGTCTATGTCCTTTTTTAAGGTATTCTTTTTTGTTCTATTTGCGTATACCAACATATTTGTCTTCAAAGGGTTCAAACGAAGATTATGACTACTACTGAACTTTTCAATTTGGGCAAGATCCTGATTAATTTTATTATTTGCGGTTTCTAAGTGATTACTCCTAAATGAATAGAAAATTTGAGTATCATCTGCAAAAAATTGTATGCTGCATGATTTTACCTCTGTTTCTAAATCTGAGATATATAATGAAAATAATAGCGGTCCTAAGACTGATCCCTGTGGTACACCAGAACAGCAGTTTATAATATGCGTTAAGTAGACATCAATTTCAGGTATACATAGTAGTATCATATGCAAAGTTATTTCATCTGTACCACTAGAATTTGATTTTATTTTATGTATAATTTTAACAACGGTGTCAATAGTCACTTTATTAAATTGAAATTTGAATTTTGAGTTATTTTTATTAGCTCGGTAATATGCAATTTTATCAGCACAAGCCAAATCACTATTCTCGAAAATTGAAATGAAAAAAATATCTTCATTCACGCGACACTTGTCATCTCAACAATCATGTGCGCCTGCAACAATTCCTCTCAGAAGAAGGAGGTAGGTAATTTAATTATTTGTTATACATGTTCTTAGCTAACTTTTTTCTAAGAATGGCTAACTTGTGCCAAACATAAGCCTTTACGAACTGAGGACAGCGTATCGTTAGAACTACAGGGTCAACTTACCCGACGCCATTTTTTTATTGTAATCACAAAACTTTCTTACTTGAGATAAGTAGTGGAGTTAAATATGGCCCAGCGGATAATATGGCCCATGTGACATATTTTCAAAGTTTCAAAATTGAGAAAGTCTGGCAACACGGCAATTAGGCAGCAGCGGTGGCCGCAGTAGTAGACTCTTCGGTCTCCTGATCAGTCGCCGTGCGCTGTGCGGGTTCGAGTCGCCTCCCAGGAGAAACTTTTCTCTTGGCTATGGATGTTGTGATTGTCCGTAGGTGGTAGACGGTCTCTGACTGTCGAACGCGGAGGTACCACCCGGCGGATCTAGTAGGCGGAGCCAGAATGTGTGCATGTTGCATGCACACGTGTTCCCTCGCCAGAGTCCGTGTGGCGTCCCCCCTTTCCCCTGTATCCCCCTATAGCCCCACGGTACCCAATGGGTGTATAGGCCTTAGGCCTTCGTGGTAGTTGGAGTTTAAAAAGAAAAAATAAACATACAGGTACGTACAACTAAAACGGCAGCCGCTATCATTTTCAAGAACGTTTGTGTCGAAGTTAATATAACCTCAGCATCACGTGTCTATGTGAATTTTGGGTGAACGTCTTCAAAACACCTGGTAACTAGATGTTTTAAGCTACTTTTTCATGATATTTCGTTAATGCATGTTTAGAGGTTATGTTAAGTTCTGGCGGTTATTTCGCTCAAACATGTGTCGGCGAATATGGCCCGATTTCGGGTGGATAATATGGCCCAAATAATCTGGTGGGCCATATTACCCATTAATCGCGCTTGATTGCAAAAATCATATATTTTGTAATTGAGACGTTGTTTCAGGCTACAATGGTAAAGTATGCTAAGAGAAATTTAAGATAACGATGGACGCAAGAACATTTAGAAGCTGCAGTCACAGCTGTCAGGGCAGGAGAAACCCAGAGAAATGCTTCATCTAACTTCTTAATCCCCAGGAGGGCTTTAAGAAGGTGTATGAGGGAAGGCCTTCAAGTAAAATGGTTAGGAAGGCCGAGGATACTTACCTATGAAAGAGATTTCGTAAACAGAATCAAACGATATTGTGATATTGGTCTATCGTTAACACTACACCTAGTGCGACATCAGATGTATCGGTTTTGCGAATTAAATGGAATACCACATATGTTCGATGTTGAAAAACAAGCTGCTAACAAAGACTGGCTGAAACTGTTTCTTCAAAGGAACCCGCTGATTTGACCAAACGAAAATCGTAATTGATGAATCCAGCACAGAAACTAAATAAGTTAATTGTTGGAGACTACTTCTCTAAATTACGGAGTACTTTTAGGGAACTGGACATTTTTGGCAAACCGCAAAATAAATTCAACATGGACGAAAAGGGGTTCCGGCTTACCATTCATCACCATTAAAGCGTATTGGCCCAAAAAGGACAAAAACGTGTTCATATGGTGGCGCCAGAACATGCGCAGAATGCTACAATTGTGGGCTGTTGTAATGCTGCCGGAAATTCTATTTCACCGATGATAATATTTAAGGGAAAACGTTTTAAGGAGGAATTTCAGGACAATTTGCCACATGGTGCGCTGGTGAACATGGCGTCCAAGGGAAGCAGGAACACTGAAATTTTCAGAGATTTCTTTCAGCATTTTGTAAAATTTAAGCCATCGAATGGTGAAACCCTCTCAGTTTTTGATGGCGCCTCCTGTCGTTTGGATTATACGATCGCGGAATCTGCAGAAAGTCTAGGGAACACGACACACGAGCTGCAACCCTGGGATAAGGCGGTGTATCGATCTTTTGAGGCGTATTGGTATCAAGAACAAACTGTTAAAATATTGGCATCTTTATCCCAATAGAATCATCAACAAAAGCCGCTTTAATATAATTTTCTCAAGAGTTTGGCCGAAAGCATCCCCAGTGGTTTCAGAGCAACTGGCTTGTTTCCGCTAGATCCTTCTGCAATTTTCGAAGCTGTATATGCTCCATCAATGGTAACAAATATGCTACAAGAAGATAACGAGATGAACCGCAAGGACGAACTTGCTGACGATCAAGGTTCTTTTTCAGAAGACGACGACCTACCTTTAACACTTCTGGCTAGAAGATTCAGAAATACCAGGACGTCTGAACGGGTCACCATGTCTAAAGCCAGCACATCAACCGTTGGCTCTTCAACGACTGGTACATTGACCCCTCGCCCATTAACAACTGCCAATTGAGTGGGTGAGCCGATAAATGATAAATCATTTACGGAATTGTTACCAACTCCTGTAGATCAAAATTAGAAAGTAACGACTATCCGCAGAAAGGCGTTGAATTACCAGGCCCAAAGGGTAACAAAAAAAATGTTCACATCTAAAAAGACACGTGATGCGAAAGCAATAGAGAAGCCGTCCGTACAAGCCAAAGGAAACAAACAGTAAGGAGTCTTTGTTTTGTTCTGTTTGTGGGAAAGATGAAAAACAAGCGCATGTGCATAATATGTCTCACATATTTTCAAGAGGTTTGTATAGGATTGGAAGAAATGGATGATGACGATTTTCAGTGCCCCAACTGTATTTAATGCAAGTGTGATATTATTTATAGATTTTTAGGATATGACCAATTACCCACTGACGTGGTTGATATATATATATATATAGTGAATCCTTATGTTAATTTTATAAAGAAAATATTTAGTGCTAATAAACGTTATACATTATAGTTGCTGGCTATGATAAAATAATCCCCCATACTCACCACCTAAGTGTAAAGAATTACATAATATGTTAGGTGGGCCTTATTTACCCCCACTACCTGATTGTTTTTGTAGGATATATTGCGAATTCTCGATTATTTTGATAAAACTCTGACGCATTAGTACAACCATGCCATACGTATACAATCTTCCTTATAGTTGTCTTTCACATACTAATAAATTTTGTCTACAGCCGAGATACGTTAGGAAGGGTCAGGAACTTAATCTATTTGGGTAACCAAAAAATATTGATTTCAGGCATATTCCATATTTCATTAATTACGGTTAGAATTTTCGTGTGTATGGATACAGTACAAAGCTAAAGTTTGGTATGATGAAATTCATGGGCGCCCATTAGGGGTACGACGAGGCATATGCCGTCCATAACTTCCACCTAAGGAGTAACATATTCTTAATAGAGTACCCTTTTTGTAATAGTGTTTGTTTTTTGGACAAGGAATGGCGTATGTGTTTCTCACTCAAAACATCCCTAGATAGACATTGACTTTTCCGCCACCGCTTTAAGCAGTTAGCAAGTCTGCTTCAAAGTGGTTGACTGTGCCTTTAAGCCTTGCCTACTCCCTCTGTGTGGGTGCTCTAAATAAAATTGATGCATAACTACTATGTGGTACAAAAAATAACAGTTAAAAATTTGTAGGTGGCTTCTGGACGCCATTTGTAACATTTTTTTAAATATCATGAGTGGTCATGTAGAACTTTATTTTAAAGCTTCTTATGAGTACTTTATATTTCTAGAATATAAAACAAGTATCTCTCAAAATGGTGGACTAACAGGCTGCCAACGTTGAGCGTTTTTGTTCATTGAATCGCTTATACCTCAACTAATCATCAGCATATCAATTATCTTCTTTGGGAATTATCTATCCTTAGATATAACAAAATATGAGAAATGTTGCTCAACCAAATTTTGGCAGATTTTGACAATTTTATTATCGAATTTTCCGTATTTCATGACACATTGGGAAAACCTTTCCAAGAGAAAAGGAAACAGTTTTGATGATTGGTTACTAATCTATAAGCGACTCAATTTACAAAAACGCTCAACTTTCACAGCCTGTCAGTCTACCATTTTGAGATAGTGTTTTTATGTTATAGAATTATAAAGTTCTCTTACCAAAATATACCAAAATGGCGTCCAGCCGCCATCTTAATGTTTTCAAATGTCACTTTCACACCGAAACAGCTATTCATGCATCAATTTCATTACTCCGAAATTCAACTTGACCCTTTCAAGGAGTAAGTATGGGAGGATGATTTAATAGATTAGATATAGATGTATATCAATGTAAAGGGAAAAGCTGCGAATCAGGATTGAGGGAACTGGGAGCAAGAAGAAATGCAAAACTAAGCTGAGAACTTGTGATAGGTAGGTAGGCATGTAGATAAAGAGCTTGAAAATCAAAAAGCAAAAAAGACTTCTCCAATCTATGTTGCTCTTAGAAATATTCATTACAGTACAGAGGATTTAGGGGTAAGAAGTACTTCGTCATCCTACACAAGGCCCAGATGAGATATAGACTCGAGTATTGCTCACATGTTTGGGTTACTGCCGCCCCAACTACATTATCCATTCCTAATGCTGTTCAGAGGGGCTGTCTAAGAGACATTCTCAAAACACCTTCATACCGGCGGACCGTCGGCAATCTAGCGTTCTTCTACCGCTACATCAATGGGCTTTGCTCCTCCATGATGGCGGCGGGCGATGTACCTGCTAGACAGACCCCCTGACTTCCGCCTCCCATTCTAGCCGTGTCGAACTTCGTATATCCAGAACTTACCGATACAACCGCTCCATTGTTCCTAGGATGTCGAGATTGTGGAACAATGTACAAGAGGAGGCTTTTCTCGGTTCTACTAACCTTAGGCTGTCCAAAAATCGAATTAACAAGGTTTCTTTGGGATCCTCCTAGCAGCCGCGGTTACCTGGCGTTAGACTTCTTCCTGCGCGGCTGCTTCGGTGTAAAAAAGTGGTCTTTTTTAAAGGACAAAATTCGAAAACGTTAATTCTCATCACTTCATCAGACACACTGCATGATTCTTGGAAAGGTATGTATGTAAGAAACGGCGCCGCTAACATGTATGTATTATGGAAGATATGCCATTGTCGCATCTTTTTACAAATTTTATGCAACTAGGCACTTTAGTTTACCATACGTGTAGTGGGTAACATATCCGCGAGGGTCCAAATAATGGATCTATTGAATACTGTCGATTTTTTGTAAAATTAACTAGACATGGTGCTTTCGTCTATCCGACCAAAACCTCTCTTGGAAAGGTGTTTCATGCTTCTTGGCTACTCATCTACATGGTCTAGGTTTGGTCTCTCGTCTCTGGGATAATATTGCATCGCAACTATCCTCATCCAGGACATACAATCTAACGAAATAAGACAACGTCTAGCGCCATCTTTCACATCAGAATTGACCCCTGCATAGAGTGCATAGCGTTGCTTAGGTTATTCAATGGCAAGCCAGAATCGTAAGCTATCTAGCGGCCAGAAGGTGACTGGGCTATTAATCGTGAACTGTTATCCCTAACTGTTCCAACTAATATCAGCTATGCGCTCTCTGCAGTGGACGATTCTAGTGTGATAGATGGCGCTTTGTCTTATTTCTTGTAAAATATATCTGAATTTAGAAAAAAATACACGATATGTGTAGGCTGGTTCTCTAATTTTCATATAGAAAATCCTATATTTTAATTTGATCCCGGATACAAGATTTGCTACTCAGATGCAAATTCAAGCAAGGAGAAATAATTATTTGCGATATAGTTACTAGAAACGCGGATGAAACCTGGTACAATATCTAGACTAACGTAGTAGCATTTAATAAGCATTTTATTGGAAATAAGAGTGTGACGACTCACTTATATAGATATATATATATATATATTTTTTTTTGAGACGTGGTCATTGTCGTCTAGACCAGTTAGGTGAAAAATTAAAGCTTCCGCCTTTTGTTGGGTACTTCGACAAAATTTAAGCAAAGAGGACTCTTTATACTTTTTTTAATTCTCTCTAGCTGTTATCAATGTAATTGCAGCTCCTGATGATGATGGCAAAGTCCATTGAAAGATAGAGAGAATTAAAAAAAGTATAAAGAGTCCTCTTTGCTTAAATTTTGTCGAAGTACCCAACAAAAGGCGGAAGCTTTAATTTTTCAGCTATATATATATACGTATATATAGTAAAAATCACGAAAGATGACTATTACGTCATACCATAAATTGTACTGAAGTAATCAATGGACGTACGTCGATGATAAAATCATGATGTCAGGAACATAATGACAACAAATTTATATTATGCTTTTGTGAAGTTGGGTTATGTCACTGATTATTTTTTTATTTTACCTTAATAATAATTTTTGTGTGGAGTTTTTGTTTTGAGAAAAAAAAACAGTTATGAGTAGAATACTTTAAGACAGGATCCCCAAAGACCAAAGTATTTGAAAACAACCTAACCTGCTTTTACTTAACCTAACTATTCATCTTTCAAATATGATCGATCATGCATCATGACAACAACGTCTCTCTTTGTCGGATACATGCAAATTGGCAATACAGACTGTTTAGACAATAAAATTCTATTTGTCTCTGTCTAACATATCTGAAACTTCATTAAAAATTTTCACAAATCGCTGTCGTTTGTCTTTACTACAGACTAAAATGATGATGTAATCGTCATCTTTCGTGATTTTGACTTGATATAATATATTATATGTATATTTTAATAACTGTCTTTGAGCGATATTTAATAAGTTGCTGATCAAGTCAAGTCATCGTTGGTTGTCAGAGCGGTCCGTGAGACCTTAGCTCTTGAATCACAGTGTCAGTATGTAAGTCTGTCAGGCCTGGTAACCCAGAAACTAGACAATTTTAAGGAAAAACGGGAAGGAAAGGAGAGAAGGAGGAACGAGAGCAAAGAGGAAGAAGAGAATCTTTTAGGACAGGGAGCGTTTAGGCGTTGTTAAAATCACTTCACAGATGTTGATATAGATTTTATTTTTTTCTAAAGATTTGGTCACAAGCTCCAATTTTGGTTAAGTTCTCGAATTATTTTTGATTACAGTGCGAGCCGCGACCTTTTGTGCTTGCAAACTTGCTCGACTGTGTCGTCCACTGACTCACTCAACAGAGGGTTGCTGTGCGATTCCGCTGGGCTATAGCGCCGCTGCGCCTGTTGCTTAATGTAGTCCCTTAGGTAAGGGACATCGAGGTCTCTATGAACGGTTTTGTTAGAGACATACGTTAGTAATAGCGCGCAACGCCCTGCTTTGCAGAACCTGCATATTTCGCATCTTTGTTTTAGCAATAAAACACCAAGCCGCACATGTGTAAGTCATTACTGGTTTTATGACCCCCTTATAGAGTCGAATCTTGTTAATCAAACTTAATTTTGAACTTAACAATGGGTAAAGCTGTCGAAACGTAATCTGGAATTTAGTTGTTAAAGCTTCTACATGACTCCGCCAAGTCATCCCTTTGTCCAGAATGACACCGAGATATTTAGCGGATGATTCCTATGGTATACGAAGTCCATTCATTGAAATTTCAGACGGAACGCCGCGACGTCTTTTTGTACAATAGATTGTCTGCGTTTTTGAATGGTTAATTTTAATTAGTCACCGATCCGCCCAATCTAATACTTCCTCCTCCGCACTTTGCAGCCTGTTGTGGATTAGGTCGCCATACCACGACTGAGTCACCAATGCAGTATCGTCAACATAGAGATACTGGGTCCTTAGCATTGACTATTGCCACGAGATAAGTTAAGGACTTCCGCGAAAGCAGCTTTAGCGCCTTATTAGTGATTTGGTCGTTCCCAGGTGCACTCTATGGTCTTTAATATGACCTTGAATCTCTGCTGGTGTGTAATGCGGCATTTCAGGAGATTCCGCTGATGTGCTAAGCAGTTCGTCGCTCTGCGAAATGTCATCAGTATAACAATAAGTTGCTATAATTAGTAGTATTGTCAGTGTCGGGCTTTGGATGCACTGCATCAGGGTCTGTTACAGTTCAGGAGAATACATCCCAGCATTTTCCGAATTTTTCACCACACGTTTCCCGTTCAATTTTACCTGAACGAAGCGGCTACCAAAAAGCTTAGCTGCGTCCGTTAGATACAGTCCACATTGATTCTTTAATGCTCCGCATATTTTTCCGAAGGCAATTTGTTTCTATATTGAGTTGTTGGCGGAAGCAATAAGAATATGCATGAAACGTAGGTTTCCTTGTTAATAAATCTGTATGTACTCGTATAACATGTATACAGGAATTCTCAGAAGAAAATAACTTTTCCTGTTTCGTTTTTCGAGGTATTTATTTCTAAATATAACCCCCATCGCAGTGTCTCGTTGACGCGCAGGCTTATCGTAACGGCATGGTGGTAAGATAATTACATAAAAACATGTATAATGTTAAATACCTAGGTGCTGTTTTAACCTATTTTGAATTCTGTGTTCAAAGATGCAATTTTCTGTTGGAATGTTTCTGAATTTTTCGTAAATATACAAATAATATCTCCTTATAATTATGTTTCTTATAAAACCATTAGATTCAATGTTTTACTAGGATAAATACAACCTTTATTAGTAACTACGTGTTTTTTCAAATTTAAATGGAGTGTACCTATGTTTTTAGACCCCAGCTCTACAACAGGATGTCAGGATGTGCATCAGGAGGATGCACAAATTCCGCTCCAAGCGATTTTTGATGAAACCGTTCCCAAAGGATTGAAGAAAGTAGCGGGCAGCAAAATGAAAAGGGGAAAATGGCAACCAACGGATCCCTCAACCTTAAGCATGGTAAGACACGCCAGTATAGCTTTGACTTTTGAATAATAACTATTTTGTTTAAATTAAAGATAAAATAGAATATACTGTTGGATTGATGAAAGTTATTAAATAAGTATAGCTACCTATATTGTTTCTCAAATTTTTACTTTGTTTAATTCCACCAATGCGGGAAAAAGTGAGAGAAGATCACAGTAGGAAATTAAAGAGTAATGCTGTTCCAACAATTTTTTTCCTCCACCAAAGCCAAACCTAAGAGAAATCCCGACAGAAAGAGATATTTCTGCAAGTGTCTCACCTGTTGTTGTGGATAATGAAGAACAAATTGTTGATACTACTCCTACAAAAAAAATAAATCACACTCTTTTGGTTCCTCTGAAAATGAAGTGTATGATGCTGACATTTATAAATTCCAGATATCCATTAATACATTAGACAGTGTTATGGGCAGTTCTTTAAAAAAAACTCAAGTGATCAAATAATTATGTCAGGATCTTCTGGGAAGCGTGTTTAAAAAATACTTTGACATAGTTTGTTCTCAAAATATAAATTTGAAAGATTATTTTTGTATTAAAAATGAAAGAAATATGATTAGATAATATATATTAAATTGTCATACTGTTAAGCAAAAAACTGTTAGTAGTATGTGGTTTTGAGGCTTAAAATAGCTAGTAAGAAAAATGTTAATTTACTCAATAAATATGCAAGTAAGTCATTAAGATAAAAGTTGTAACTAACAAATATTTATTTTGTTACAGTTAGTTTTTGTTCTGAAACCAGTTTTCAAATATGCAGATTATTGCAATAGTGTCACTGATTTGCCTTTGTTTTTATTTTCAAGAAAAATTATTGTCTACTGGTTTTATTCTGAAAAAAAAGCAGAGGTATCTTTTTTGATGTTTTATTATATACTATTGTCCAAAACATTGACACATAAAACATCAATAAGAAACACTAAACTTACGTATGAAAACGAAAAATCAAAAAAATAATTCTCAAACACAGTTTTTAGGTTTTCTATAAAAAAATGCTTTTTTAACATAAAATAACCTGGTTTTTTTTTGTTGAGCTCAGGTTTTTTAAACTTGCTTTGAAGATCATACCAAGTTATTTAAACCACTAAAAATTGATTAAAACGTAAGACGTCATCACTTTAGAAAATGCATGCACATTAACATTTGTTGTGGACTTCCACAAATGTTTCTTTCACTAGTTTGCAAATCATAATAAGTATAATAACTTTAAGGGCTAATTTGTTACTAGATTTTCATGCCACAAACTATGTAAGTATCAACAAAGAAAGAATTTTATCTCTAAAATTAAACCGATGACCTAAAAATGATTAGGTACCCTCGATGATGCTAACAGGTTATGTTTCCTTCACATGGAGGATCTAGAACATAAGTATCTCTAAATACTAAAAATCATTACCTTTTCTCATTATAAACATTATTTATTTATGTTATTATACTAACTTTAATCATTTATTTAAAAACAATTAAACTGCATCCAATATCTGTAGTTGAAAGTATGGGAAATACCAATGAGTTCCATCAATGTGGTCGATACCAGGAAAAAGCCTATACAGCAAAACTAAATACACTAGTACCATCTGAATTAAGATGAAAATACATTAAAATATTCTCACTAACTAAACAAAAAACACAAAGTCGTATCACGTAATTACACGTCTCTTATAGTAAACAAACAACTTTTGCCTCTTAATGGAGTCTCTATTGTCGTCACTCTTCCTATATGAACATAGTTCCTTCCGCTTTTGCTTGCTATGAGCGCGGTGAGCGCCTCCCATAGTGTTACCAATAGAGGAATGACTCTACGAGATGCTCAACCATCAAGCTGCAAGTCAGTTCGCCAGCATGCTTTGATGGTTACAGAATACCGAGTCTGTAGAGTATATCTCTAAGGAGATGTAACAAAAAGAAAATTGGGTTAGCAGTAGAGTAGCAAGATCGCATCTAAGATGATTGTGTGAATTGATCTGCATTGATAGAATCAGTGATATTTACTATGCGAGAAAATTATTACTGACTAATCTGAGTATGATGTCCATGAAGTATAGCTACTAGCTGTACCAGAAAGGTTACTTGTGTTGTCCTTTCTGAAGAGAGGTTAGGTTCAAAGCTATAAATTACGATTTTCCCTGTTTTTTTTTTTCTTGAGTTTTCAATAAGTTTGAAAAGTATATAGATATCACAAAAAATCAGGAATAACGCATTACACATAAAACATTTTCGCGGTGCCTCTCATCTAGACACTGATTTGTATTTTCTACTTGACATCGCAAAGTAAATATATATAAAATTTAAATGACTAGAAATAAAATATAATGTAAGATAAATTTACATTTCCACCATACAGAAACATTCCTGTCTGTAGCCTATTTTTTCAACTGCTGTAATATACTTCATCAGCCAGGGATTTTCTTTTTTTATGTCTCTTTTTTTGAGATTCGGTAAATTTGGAAACGTGCTTTCCAGTACGAAGCATATATTCCAAATTAGTGTATTTGAGACAAGAAGTGAAGCAAATCATCAACACAGATTATTAGCACACAAATCCTCACTAAAGACCTATGCACTGGCTATTTCCTTCCAGCTATACTATGCACCTTACAGCTTAAGCTCTCAATAATGCCATCTCTCAAGCAGATGTTTCGTTACATCAGATCCTCACCATGATAGCTCAAGAGTCGCTCAGGCAATACGTACAGCTACACAACGAGTGCACATCAAGTAAACAACAGGTAGTACCAAGTCGAAATTTTATATGAACACCTACATGTCACCAAAAACTTATGTAATGTCACAAAAATATCGGAGTTATAATCAAGCCGAATCTTACAACAACCCTCTGTTGCGTGATTCAGTAGACTACACAGTTGAGGAAGTTCGCAAACATTCCAGGCCGCGCCTCGCACTGTGATCAAAATTAAATTGTGAATTTCAGACCAACCAAAATTATTTCAATGTGCAAAACCGACCAACATTATTTATTGGAGTTACAAAATTATTCGAGTAGTCAAAGCAATATTGCTTGAGCTATTTCAAATGATTTACTTCTTTTCTTTGTTCTATTTCTTCCTTCCTTTCTTTCCTTCTTTCCTTTTCCCCTTAAAAATGTTAGGAATCTGGGCAGCCAGACCTGACTAACAGACCGACAAGACTTTTAACCGGACCGCTCTGACGAACAATGACGAATAGTAGTTACAAAAATATATGTAATGTCAAAAAACCGACATAATGACACTTTTCAAGATACGTAATACCGCTGTCCGTGAGGCTCCAGCTCGAGCGACTTCGTAGTGGAGCGAGCGCTATCGATGTTGACTGCGATCAGGGTTGTATTTGGGAATAAACCCCTCATAAAATCAAGCACAAAAAGTTATTATTTTACAAGAAATCGGCCATATTAATCAGGTCCATTACTTCAAAGATGCCTTCTTATTGGTCCAATTTGTGTCATAGGCGCAAGTTTTGTACCCCTAATTGTAAAATCGGGACTTACGCATGTGCGGCTTACTGTTTTATTGCTAAAACACACATGCGAAATCTGCAGGTTCTGCAAAGCAGGACGTTGCGCACTATTGCTGATGCCCCATGGTATGTCTCTAACGAAACTCTACATAGAGACCTCGATGTCCCTTACCTAAAGGACTACATTAAGCAACAGGCGCAGCGGCGCTATAGCCTAGCGGAATCGCACAGCAACTCTCTGTTGCGTGAGTCAGTGGACTACACAGTCGAGCAAGTTCGCAAGCACAAAAGGCCGCGGCTCGCACTGTAATCAAAATTAACTCGTGAACTTAGAACAACCAAAATTGGAGCATTTTTACACAATCTTTAGAAAAAATCAAATATTTTTAGACCATATCAAAATCTGTGAAGTGATTTTAACAATGCCTAAACGCTGCCTATCCTAAAAGATTCTCTTCTTCCCCTTTGCTCTCGTTCTTCCTTCTCTCCTTTCCTTCCCCTTTTTTCCTCAAAATTGTCTGGTTTCTGGGTTACCAGACCTGACAGACTTACAAACTGACACTGTGACTCAAGAGCTAAGGTCCCACGGACCGCTCTGACAACCAACGATGACTTGACTGACTGTAAAATCGGGCCTAATAGTTGCGGACCGGACGTAACAGATATGTTGATCATAAATTGTATATATACCATAGACATACAGTGTTCCGTTATAGTGTTATTACTCCAATGTCGAAACTATTTATCCATCTATGAAAGAAAACGTTAACATCAAGTTTCATAATCGAAGGTGTTGCCACTAGCAAATGCACATCTCTTTCGAAGCAATCGTCAATCATTTTTATGGCGTTTTGTGGGCTAGCGGAACACGTCAGATATTAGATTGACCAGTGGGATCACAAACCACATCAAACCACAAATTATAGATACATCATACCGAATGGACGATACCCGACTTAATGTGATTTTTTAATTGGAATTCCTGTCATAAATTCATCACGTGTCAATAATATCGATCCGAAAGATAGCCATCGAAAATAATTTTCGACCGAACAAAAAAGTTACCTTAGGGTTATCATTTTGTATGATATACGTTGGGGACAGTTACCGAGGCATTTTTTAATAGTCCGGTGTCCATCGGAATTTATCGATATCGATCACTGCGCTTCTTTTCATGCATCACGTCACTATAATTAAAAAGTTGAATGATTGATAAATATACAGTAGCAGCCAAAAGTATGAGATGCTTTACTGAATCGGAGCGACCTAATTCTGAGAGGATTCAAGCTTACAGTTTGAAGAGTCCCGACAATTATAAAAAGCATATTTGAATTACATAGAAAAACGAACCAAATACTTTGATTTATATTATCATATCCAAAACAACCAAACCCTATAAAGAGGTAATCAATAATTCGAACCAGCAGACCGAACTAAACGCAAAGAGACAACTCAAAGCTCAAACCTTGTTCTTTTGGGGAACTACGAAGTGCCGTCGATTAAAAGGGTTCGCTACACAGAATTCCGGCATAAGACCGTAAGACGGAAGCTCTTGTCGCTCGACATCAACAAGGCTTGTGGTATGGACTTGATTCCTGCCGTTGTATTGGAGAGATGTGCAGCAGGGCTTGCTCCAGTCTTTCGCGTCTCTTCCAGATATCCTTCGAAACGGGCACTTTCCCAGAAAACAGGAAATTTGCTCATATCCCAGGACCGATCCTCGTAATTTCAGGCATATAGCGCTACTTTCTGTTGTAAGGTGATGAAAAGGTGCATAAATCGGGATCTTCTGGAATTCCTCGAAGTCGAGGCGTGATCAGCGACAGGTAGTATGGTTTCCAACTAG